ATATAATAATATATCGCGCACAAATACGGTGTATAGGGTGTCCCGCGGAGTTGTGACAAGTGCGAGATTTTTTTTTCGCCCGTCCGATAGTTTCGCCTTGCGCTTTGGATATCATTCCCGTATATCCGATACTTTTTTTCTCCGAAAATTAAAACGTAGTTTAACTAATCCGCACAAGACCCTTTCTTTTTTTTTTTTTTTTTTTTTTATATATATACCTTTGTATCGCAACAAAACGTTGTCGTTAGGTTGTATGCAAACGTTTTTACTATACATAATGACGTTCCTTTTTCTACTGTTTTTCGAAATTTCGTTAATAATATCAATCGATTTGCGTTGATTTTCCCCCCGAAAAACATTTTTTGTCCATTTTGAAAAACCGTAAAAAGAAACTATATTGACGATCCGTTGGCATGGTAAAATATCTGTACGGCTAAAACGTTCTTCCGTAATACATTTATGAAATTACCCACTTCAATTATGAAAAACCCGATTAAAAAAAAAAAAAAACAATAATTTATTTATTTTCGGTATTAAAGAAAATGTAAAATAGAATTATCGTAACGCAGAGACTTATAGTTATTTTTATAAGAAAAAAAAAACAAAACAAATAAAATATCTAAATCACATCAGATGAAACAATACAATTATAATTACTGTATTTGTCCGTTCCGCGTGCGACACCCTGTACAATACATAAGTATATAATACGAAACACAATCGTATAAAATATATTATAAGTATAAGTGTGTGCGTGTGAGTTTGTGCTTTCGGACCGTTTTGATATTAACTTACGAATCGGTATATATTTATCATGTCCATAAAATATAACGGACCCGGTATATTTTATATGGCAATAATATATTGTATCTTATAGGCCAAAAATCAATTTCGAACATATTATTATAATATAAAAGCGATACTCGTATCGTATAATATATTATTTACGTGAACACACGCACTCGCAGATATATAAATACAAATTGTATATTTTAATATATTATTATATAAACCGCCTTTTCACTATTATAATAATATTATATATATATATATATATTATTATCGCGCGTAAAGATACGAACAAAAAGATTTTCGGAATATGGGCATTTTTTTTTTTTTTTTATTAGCTTTTCGATAGACTAGTAGCATTTGTCTAAATGAAAGTCCTTAACGACCGGCAGGAAAATACGAATCGTCGCGAATCCATTTGATGAAGACGAAAAATTAAAACACACGCAGAATTAAAATTTGATATTTGTATTTCATATAGAATTTATTTAAGTAAAATACGTATATATTTTTTTTTTTTTTACATATAGTATTATTTTAAAATCATTATTTAATTATACTTGGGCTCAAGAATAAAAATAAAAACGATATTGATTACCGTTGTAAGATATTTAAACGTTACGCGCAATAATTTAGTGTTCAACAACGAGACAAATTTAAGCTTAAGTGCCAGATTGTACAGTTTTGTTTTTTTTTAATATAGCGTAAAAATTGTACATAGAATTTAACACGTAGAACTCAACGGTTGTATTTAATATATTCGAATTACACACTACCAATTACTTACACTAATAATAAATACATTATAAATTCGAGGTATCAATGATATTGAGTTAAACGTGGACGAATATATTATAATACTATTGTTTTGTTCGTGACTGTACTTGTGTGATAAAATATTATACGGTTAATAGTTATCGTCTGAACTTGTGAATGAAAGCAACGAAGAAATTAAGAGGCTATCGACGTCAACCGCTTAGTTTCTGTGAGTTACCATTGAAGCGATTTGAACGAAACTGCCGAAGGAAGATAAAATGAATATTGATCAACTCTTTGTAACATTTTAGTTTCACAATTGAACAATTATATAAAATAAACTTGTGTCAAAGAAGACACTAAATCTGAGAAAAAATACACACAGATAAATTAATGCTAAAAAATAACGATTCTGAAAAAAGTCCATAAAAGTCCATGTTTTAAAATATCTACCGTGATGTTTACGATTTTCGTCGAAATTTTAATTTAAAACAAAAAAATAATCGTACGCTCAACATTCTATTTTACCACCGCGTAAAACTTATGTTGAACCTCATATTGAATTTTCAAACATTTTCGTTCGGCTAAAAAAACAAAATGTATCCACGTAATACCGAATAAAAGCTAAAATAAAAAGATCCGATATTAGCAACTAAATCCAAAATGCAAAAAATCTCTTGTCGTTTTTACATTCGAACAATATTTCTGGTAGAAAACATAGATTGCGAAAATCAAAAACAATGAAATCAGTAACGCCGTGGCATACCGTAAATATTTGCCGTTTTTTCAATAATTTGTTTTCCGGTTGTTCCTATTATGAAAACACTTCTTAAATCAAAAACTGATCTTCTCAACGCTCTAATTAGATAAAACGGTTTTAGAAAATTCTAAAAACCACGTTTTGGCTACACTATAGAAGTTTAAATCAGTATATCCGGCTTCAAGATAAATACGGACCCATCCGTTTCTTTATGTAAATTATCAAAATATCATAGTTCACAGACAGTTCCGTTTATTAATTTATAAATTAGGTATACAGGATGATCAATCTATCATAAAATACTCATTATCTCGGAATTTATTAACTTTTTATAAAATTTGTAATAAAAAACTTTAAGAAACAAGCTATTCTAAAATTTAACATTTACATTATTTTTTGTCACCCTAATTTTTAGGGGTGAAACGACTACTTACTTTTGATTTTCAAATTTAAACCTATACTTAAATGTCCATAAATAGATAGAGTAGTTTTTAAAATAAATGTTGGTGTTTAAAATTTTAATTTTCGTCAATCCGTTGACGAGGTATTTCATTTTTAAGTTTTGGTCGGGGGATAGTAGTGGAGTAGTTTCAATAATGTACTACTATAAAAGTGGAAGATCCCGTCAACGGATTGACGGAAATTAAAAATTTGAATACCAACATTTATTTTAACAAGTACTCCATCTATTTATGGACATTTATGTATAGGTTTCATTTTGAAAATCAAAAGTAAGTAGTCGTTTCACCCCCAAAAATTAGGGTGAAAAAAATAATGTAAATGCTAAATTTTAGAACAGCTTGTTTTTTAAATGTTTTTTAATAATAATTTCGAAAACAATTAATACTTTCCGAGATAATAAATGTCTTATGATAGATTGATCATCTTGTATAATATTATGTTTATAACTACCAACTGATCTGACTTACTTATATAATAATATATGAGCTCCGCATATGGTTAAACATTAATATTACTCGGCTGCAATATTGCATATTCAAAACCATTATAGGAGAATTAAATATTAATCAATAATAATGTAGATTGCTGTATTTCATGCCAACGTGCATCTATATTACGACGAAAAAGTTAGCGGTAGAAATTAAGAAATGATTATAATATTTCTTGGTTAGATATTTTAGTGAACCTACGATGGTTGAAAACATGTTCAGATATTATTAACAGTAATTGCAGGTGTCGTTGGCGGTGGTCAATTTTAAAAAATGGCGTAAAAGGTGGACCGTAACGATTGACATTGACCTTCATGAACTAGACAGTAGTAGTGTATCTGCACATATATATAAAAAAAAAAAAATAGATATAGGTAATTTAGTTTGTTGCCCTTTAGAAAAAAGAAAAAAAGATTCGCAACGATGAACGGGGGAAAAATGTTAAAATTATTTAGATTTTCCCTTAGGAAAACAGAAGTTTAAAGGAAATCGATTTTCTCGAAAATAATGTTGTGTTTCCGGTATATATAATACTTTCATCCAAATAACGCTGATAGAAAACAAGACTAAAAAAATTATTTTAAGGAAAACCCAAGAGAATCCACATATTGTATATCGTATTAATACAAAATGAATTTTCCATTTCTTTGTTTTTTATTCGGTCCTCGATACGTGTCTATTCACTGGAGTGTCTTTCGATCAATTTCCATAGTAATATATATAGCGATGGTCGAGTGAGAATATATTATATATATATATTTATTTAAAAAAAAACCTACTATTCTTTAGATTATTAAGTACGATGAAGAGTATTATAATTATTTTTAAAATAAGAAAAAAAAAACAAGGCCTAAAATCAGTATCAAAATCGATATTGAATATTGGTAAATACACAATCTAAAATATAATTATTTATGAATCATTCAGAAATATTGTATTCTGGTTTTGGCATTAAGTCGCTTCGTTGGCCGCGCTATAGAATAGACATTGATGAATTATTAATTTAAATCCTAACATGACAATATCGTATTCCGACAAATAATATGCTAAGCATAGAGATCAGAATATTCAAATTTAAATAATTGTTTTTACCGTTTTACAAATAGGTATTGTTTTTATTATTATTTTTTAACAATCGAAAAATAAAACAAATCACTGTTTTATTTTTATCATTGTAAAACTACACTTACAGTCTAAAATAATAAATTATTTTCATTTATAGGTATATTTATACACTGTTTACATTTGATGCAATTGTGAAAATACTCGAGTGAAATTTTGTTTTAATCAACACCCATATGAATTGTAGGTAGATAATTACATCTAGTTTTTAATTATATTTGTATTATTTTTACATTTAATTACGTATAATAAATAACTAATATACTTTAGTTTTTCAGCCGTTTGATGTAAATAATAACTATTTTATGACAATTTATCAAAGGATTTTAAAACGAACATTTAGGGTCATGGTTAAGCTCATTAGAAATCTCTGGCATCGACCAAAACTTGTGTAATGTGGGCTTTTCCGATCCTCATCGCCGTTATATACCCCGGGAATTAGCTTGTAAATAGAGCAATATGTAAATGCTGCGTGTCCAAGAGAGTATATAATATAATCGTGTGTTCGGGAACCTTTAAATTTCAACTTTTGAGGCAATAAAATTGTCGGTATAACCGGTGGAGTTGTACTATAGTACTTGTATATACTACATTATGTTATATACTGATTATATTATTGTATTGGTTACACAAATAGAAAACCGCCGTTTTCCCATAGGTTGCACCAGCAAGGTCAATCGCTTGATAAGTGCGATAAGAAACGTTACATAGCCAGTTGAGGCATCAGTCAACAACTCTACAAAATCTCGCTCGTCTATTTTTACTGTGCTTTGTTTTGTTCATTCACGACAATGGCGAAATTCGAGCCGAGTAAGAATCATTTGCGGGAAGTTTTACTTTTTGCATTTCATTCAAAAAAAAATGCAGCTCAGGCGCGTCGAATGATTGTAGAAACTTATGGTGAACGTTGTATTAGTGAAAGAACGTGTCGGGAATGGTTTCATAAGTTTAAAAATGGTGAATATGACGTAAAAGACAAGGAACGTCCCGGACCCGTGAAAAAGTTCGAGGACGCAAAATTGGAGACTTTGTTGGATGAAGATTCTTGTAGAACGCAACGGGAACTTGCAAATTTATTGGGCGTGACTCAGCAAGCCGTTTCTCATCGCTTAAAATGCTTAGGAATGATCCAAAAACTGGGACATTGGGTGCCGTACGAGTTGAAGCCGAGGGACATTGAACGGCGCCTTTTCACATGCGAACAACTCCTCCAACAGCAAAACAGAAAGGGTTTNGAAGCGGAAAAAATCGTAGGGGCTTCCCGGCCATTCATCAACTTCGACAGCGAAACCAAACATTCATGGCTCGAAGCTGATGCTGTGTATTTGGTGGGACAAGCTTGGCGTAGTGTGCTATGAACTCTTGCAACCAGGCGAAACCATTACAGGAGCCCTCTATCGGACGCAACTTATACGTTTGAGTCGAGCGTTGAAGGAAAAACGTCCGCAATACTCGGAAAGACACGATAAGATAACACTTCTGCATGATAACGCTCGGCCGCATGTTTCCAAGGTCGTGAAAACATACCTGGAAACTATGAAATGGGACATACTACCCCACCCGCCGTTCTCCCCTGACATCGCCCCTTTTGATTTCTACTTATTCCGAGTGATGACGCATGACCTGGCCGAACAGCACTTTCGTTCTTACACCGAAGTAAAAAATTGGATCGATTCATGGATCGTGTCAAAAGACGAACAATTTTTTCGACGAGGAATTGAGAAGCTGCCACAAAAATGGCAGAAAGTTGTGGCTAGTGCTGGAAAGTATTTTGAAGAATGAGTATGTAACGAGTTTTTTACAATAAAGCCTTAAATTATGAGAAAAACGGCAGTTTTCTATTTGTACGCCCAATAAAATACTAAGATTTTTATAAATTAAATGGTTAGTTATATTATATTATATTGGTTAACCGATAAAATGATTAAATTGTTATAAAATTATATTTTAGATTCTGAGAGATCCAAATAACGTATTGGTTTTACTATGATTTGAAAAAAAGGACATTTGTTTTATACGATTATTGTTAATTTTTGTTACCTTGACAACAAGAGAAATAATAAAGAAAAAATACTTACTCTGCTCAAAATCGTCGTTTTTTATCAGTGGTTTATCGTTGCTTTTAGGTATAAATTAAATAACTCAATATATATCTTTCTTTCTAACTTCCCTCCTAAAACGCTGGCACATTGGAAGTATCACCATTTTTGGTGTTCTGTATATTATGAAAATATGAAAAACAAATATAATTATTTATAATTTAAACTTGTAAATTTAAAATATTCGATACCGTAATATTATATAAAAAATAATGATCATATTTTATTGCTGTTTGTTTTAGAGGGATTAGTAATGGTTTTAATTGATTTAGACCTAATATCCCCAAAAAACTATTGGAAGTATGTTTGATGAATTTTCATTTTGTCAACGTGTTATGTTTCTTTAAGTTTTTTACTAGAATATTATGTTAGAAGTAGAAATATAATTTTTTTTTTTTGAAATCGTGAACAAATAGATTTTTTGAAAATGTTCAAAACATTTCAAAATATTTTACCTTTAACTTGTGGTCAAAAAATAAAAATCAAAAAAAATAATGTCAACGTATTCCTACTAAGAACCTAATGAATACCTAACCTACCACCTTTCGAAAATTGATATCCGTCAAACGCATTTCTGTCTGTTTCGTGTGATTTTTCAGTTTAAAACATCATATTTATCCGAAAAACCTCATTTCCATTAATTTGAGATCAGTCATTAGATAAGTATAAAAATCTTATCAATAACGTGGTCATTTAAGTAAAAAAAAAATTCACAACACCGCCACATTAATTTTCCTAATTTTTCATTCTTTAAATATTACGAATTAAAAAAGTATTAAATATTAATTATATTATAGACTCAAATCGATGTAGATTTGAAATACGAGTAGTATAAAGATGAAAAATATAATAAATATAATATTATATTTGATAAAATATAAATATATAAATTTATTTTTTCCGTCATCTATTTAATAATATTTTCGTTACGTAGATAAACCTTTATGTAAAAAAAAAACTTTGTTATAAAGTAATCCGAATGACGTGTTACGACAATCGTCCTTATATAACTGTCTATAATAAAAACCTTAACTCATATTTTTGTTGAAAACAAAGTTTAAGTTAAAACAAACTTATTTGACAAAAACTTCTTCAGTTGTCGTCCAATTGTTATAAAAGTTAAACAGACGATATAGGCGACAATATAAGATACATAGGTAGATATTTAAAATGAATTCCTTCTTTTACGCGATATAGTTGTTATTGTTGTCATTATGCGAAATAAAGAAAATCTTTAAACCGTATATAAAGTTAATGTTAATAATACTTTGCTTGAAGTTCTTCCCATCGTAATTGTATGCATAGATACTAGTTCAAAAAAACTTTGGTCAAAATACCTACAGTCAAAAATATACCCGATACAAAATATTTCCAATAACCAAATATCTACGATGCATAAAAATATCTCTTAGACAAAAAACTATCTCTAAAATGAATATTATTATTATTTTTTAGATTCGGAGCATGGCAAGGAATGCATTTGTTTTAATATTATGGGTGTTTTTTTTAAATTTTTTAACAAAGTTTCTCCTAGGAAACGTCCTCAAATAAAAAAAAAAAAAGAAAAAAAACAAGAAACCTTTTGTGTAGCATTTTGGATTTAGTTGGTGCATTGCGAAGACCATTTTAAGGTTATTTTATGATAATACTTATACCTATTTATTAAGTAAAAATGATAATATTATTTTATTTAAAATAAGATCGATTTCTGTAGTGACTGTTACGTGTATACTATAATGTTTGTTACAAAAATGAAAAATAATCCAAAAGTGGTGACAAAAATACTAATCACACTATTGAAATGTACGATATTTATTGTCTGAAATATATTTCACGATTATGGGTACTTTACAGCTTAAGAGTATACTAAGAGTCTGCTATAAAAATATAAATACATTTCCCCAATGGTAATAATAATATAACATTTTTGTTTAATTTAATTTTTTTCATATACTTAATTATAATAAGAAATATTACAAAAAATGTAAACATACATACATAAAAATTATTTTAAAAAAGAGTACCAACGTCAAAATACAAATAATGATATTAATATCAGTTCTAAATATTTTTATTTAGAATATGTTCATTTTGAAGGTATTTTGACCGTTCAGGGTTACGTATGTGATAGTATCTCATGCAGATATTTAGTTATAAAATAACAGTGCGTATCAAAATATGTTATTATGTATTTTAAGTATTAACACAAATCAACGGACTAAGCGTTTTGGGTTAATATATTATGCATTTTATTAGGTAAGTATTCTAAAACTTGAAATCTAAAAATTAATTTTACTCACCATGGTTTGATAACAACAACAAGTTTAATTACTTGTAAGGTCTACATTACAAGGTGTCCTTGTATTTATGTAAGGTTAAAAGTTTGATTCCTACACACAATATGAGTCTCCCGCTATGACCCTAAGGGGTATCTTGAAAGTACCTACCTACTAATTTAATTTTAATTATTTTTAGTTTTCATAATCTACCTGTATTGTCGTATACCGTGTTATGCTTGAATCTATAATAAAAAAACACCTACCTAAATATTATATTCAGGGGTTGACTGGGATAATATTTTAGGCATTGTTTTTCGTTAGCTGGTCAGAAAAGTCAAACCTACATAATATGGTTAAATTACCAAAAACATTCTGGGCGTGATATAATTTTTAAAATATTCTGGCGTTTTTGAGTTACTGTTATAGCTATTTAAAATAGTGTACTTTTTTTTTTTTGGTTTTTGTGAAAACAATTATGTTTTTGGTTACTCAAAATTATTAAAAACTCGATAGATATTATTATTGTTCTTATGCTTTGGTTGATTTTATAATTAAAACAAAAGTTCTGACAGTCAAATAATGCATGATTAAATAATTTTTTTATTTTTGTTGTTACAGATACGCTATCCTTTCCGTGAATAACAAAATCTAGTAAAAATTCGACCGTAAGTATGACATAACATTGTTATTATTATTATAGTACGATTTTTAATTTGTATTGCTTAGGATAAACACCGTGTTTTTAAGTTGTAGAATATTGTAATACTAATAAAATGTATTTAGTATATACGACTTAAATAATCGATTAAAAAAAAATCGTAGGTAGTTATACCTACATGATATAATACAAAATCGCATAATACACGAGGAATAATATCATGAAATAATGTGATTCTTCACAACAAATTAATATATTATTTCGATATTAATAAAAAAAAAAGAAAAATTGATTTATTAAAAAAATTGCATTTCATTTAAATTGCTATGATTCAAAAGGTTAATTGGATTTCTTTTTTAGTGCTTAATTATTTATATAGGATAGGTACCGAATTATTTTTGTAAATAAATAATGTACAATTTGTAGATATTGCCGTAGGTATTCATAATTGATTCGGAAAATGTTTCGAACAGCAAATACCTACCCACCTATTTACTCGTTTTCGTCAAAATCAATATATTTGATTACTCCGAAACCTCAATTTTGCTGTTATTGTTTACCCATTCAATTTAGAAAGGATTATCGAAGACGTAATCAAAAAATCGAAACATATATAATATATATTATATATTCTTTCCATTATAGTAAAACGACTTTATGCATTTCTATCAAAACATAATATTAGACGTGCAATTTAAATATAAATATAATAAATCCGAAACAGTCTACACGTACGCGTAATATTGTTATTAACTTTATGCGCAAAGAACAACGCAAATTGGTGTTTCGTGGCTTTTTCTTTCTATAAAGTTATAATTTAGAAAAGTTAATATAGCTCACGGATAGGCTGCTAATATAGGTGAGTTGTTTGGAAAGTTGGATAAACAGAGTAATTTTGTATTTATACTTTATGTAACGATAAAATATTAGTGAAAAGAAGAGTGGAGTAGTATTACCCTTGATTAGTAGTATTAGTTGTAAAGCTTAATCCCGTAGGTAACGAAGAAATTCCAAAAAAAAAAAAAACCGGCGTATCGATATCTCTTGCTAGTTTTTAAAATGTTAATATATTTTTAAAGAAAAACTGTCGAGAATATAAGTTTTTTTTTTACAAATAAAGTAATCCCGACTAGAAAATTCGTTTTTTTTTTAGTCAAGATTTAAATACATTTTTCATACTAACTTTAAAAGTGTTTCACCCCCCCCCCCCCCCAAAAAAAAAAAAAAAAAAAAAAAAAAAAAAATGTAGTCAATTTATGAAAATATCAAAAAATGTTTTATATATATATAAGCACCAATAGGCTAAAAATCACATCTTCTAAGATAATATGGGACATAACCAAATTAGAGAATTTCTTCTAGCTGACAAAGTGTTTTCAAGGGACAAAAACCACGCGTTTTGTAGAGTCAATAGCTTCTTCGCTTCAGAAAATAATATACACAATAGGTATGTCATTAAAAGCAAAAATAAATAATCGGACCTTATGAGAATGGATAGGATAGAAAAAATAATACTAAATGATTGACGCGCATTACACTTTGTTCGCTTCGACCTGAAAAATATACGTGATTTATTTTGTTTTGTACCTACATATTTTATAATCAAAGGTAGAACTTTCTGAAAAGATTCTCTTTTACTATAAATATAAAAAGCTAGATAGTAGATTTTGGGTGTTTTGTACATTATAACTATACGCCCACCGTACGATTGTATATAGTTCGAGCTATGAACTTCTCGGGGATGTC